TGATATGATTTCTCTTTTAAATGTTTGAAATGATTTGCTAGTGAAGTCATCTGGGCCTAGAATTTTCTTTTTTCAGAGGTTTTAAATTACGGATTTAATTTATTTAGCAGATATAAGAATATTCTCACATTCTCCATTTTATTAAATTGTTTTGCAAAGAATTTGACCGTTTTATCTAAGGTGTTGAATTTCCTGGCGTAGAGTCGCTGTTACATACTTTTCTATGTAGAGGTCTTGCAGTATTTACTAGATTATTCTTGGGTGTTGGACCATTTTTGATGCCGCTGTAAATTATATATTTTTAAAATTTTATGTTTGTATTCTTTGTTGCTGGTGAATTAAAATACTATTGATTTTACATTGAACTTCTACCCCAAAGTCTCCCTCAACTTACTTATCACTTCTAATGATTTATCTTTAGAATTCTGAAGATATTCTATACCTAATTATAATCATGTCTATGAATGGTAGTTTTATTTATTTATTACCAATACATTTTTTTTCTTTTAAAGTTTTCTTTCTTTCTTTTTTTTTTTTCTTTTCTTCTATTTTAGTTTTTATTTTTTTCTCTTGTTTTTTCTTCTTTGTTTCTTCTTCTTGTTTGGTCTCATTGCACTGGCTTTGACTCCACGTATTGATCAGACATAATATATATCTACGTACTGCATCTCCGTGTATTGTTCTCAATTTCAGAGGAAAAAGTTTTAATAGTTCACCTTTAAATTTAAGTTAATTATGTTCTAAAATATCTTTTTTCTTTGAGGATTCAAAGGATGAAATAATTACATAATCAAATGAATTCTATATTTTAAATTTCAAAATCTGAAAATAGACAAAGCTTGTTACCCAGAGGGGAAAAATAGATTTGGGGTCTAAAATGTAGGATCTGCTGAGATATATTTTTCTCTTCTAAATAATAAACTACTTTTTGAGCAATTGTGCTTACAACATATTAAAATGTAAACTTCTCTCTCGCTCTTTTTTAAAAAGCTTAATTGCGTAAGTCGGGAAATGCTCATCCAGCTTAATCTCTTTTCTTAGCTTTATGAGTTATCTTCTGAGGCCAACAGGGAAAATACTAAAGCTTCTGATTGGCAGTTTCTCCCATGACCGACCCTCAAGCCTCCCTTCACTCGCTAAGGGATCCCGGTGGGGACGCACACGCACACCCCGCCCGGACCTCTGAGCAGGATGTGCCCCCCAAACCCCCAAACCACAGCCATCTAAGACACCGGCTCTGGCTCAGTGAATATCAGCCCAAGGTCAGCCAATTTCTGCTTCGGAAAAATTTTGTTTGCAGCTCAATGGAATTGATCGTAGGCAAACTTTCTGAGGGGCGACTTTATGGTGGTAGAAGTTCAGTCTTTCTCACAGGTCCCCTCCCCCAAGCTGGCCCCCACCTCTGACCTCATCTGACACGCAAGCCAACGTGTCAGCACGTGTTAACGCATGTTAATGCGACCTCGTGATTGTTTTTATTTTCCTGCCTGTCTGCACGGTGTGGTCGGTCCGCCTCGGTTTACGATCAGCTCATCCGCGCACGCGGAGCCCCATTGCACACTCACCGCTGTGCCAGGCACCGTGAGGATCCCTCTGGACAATCTCCCTTAAGAGCTGCACTCCGGGTGGGAGCACGACCTGCCACTCAGGGAAAAGCAGGGAGATTAAGTTCCGAGTGTCCCGTCGCTGTCTTCGGGGGCGAGCATTTGTTCAGGGGATGGAGACAGTACTCAGGAAAGGTGCACGAGCTCGAAGGATCATCTGTGTCAAAGCCCAGGATGTTGGCAAATGCTGGGCAGGCGCTGGCGGGCGGGAAGACGCGGCTGAATCAAACCGTGACTGGCTGAATGTGTCTCTTTGGCTACTGTTGCCGTCAGCAGATCGGCCGGCTCCATCTTCAAAACAACCCCAAACCGAGCCCTCGATCTTCCCCTGCACCACAAGCACCTTGGCCCGGTCGCGGCTGTGGCGGCGGCAGTTTCCGGGAGCCTCGCCCCCCGGGGTTTTGGGGCCCCCGGCCCCGCCCCTGCACACGCTGCACACCGCAGACCCCGACGTGGCCCCTCGCGGCGGCTCCATGGTCCTCCATCACACAGAAATCAAACCAGAGTCCCGCCCCTGGCCTGGCCCCCATGATCCGCCCGGTCGCCTCTCCAGGCACACGGGCTTTCTCAGGGTTCCCCACGCACCCAGCTCATCTTGTCTGGGTCTTCGGCATTAATGGGACCCTGGTCGGAACAACCTCCCCTCAGCCCACAGGACCCGCTCCATCCCATGATCGTGGTCTCCCCTGAAACATCACTTCTCCCCAGAGGCCTTCCTCCCTCCCGTGGCCCCTCAGTCTCCCGGCCTCTCCCAGCCTCAGCCCCTCCTAGCATTTGTCACCACCTGAGGCCACAGGTGAATGCTCTGATCCCTCCGCCATCTGCTCTGAGTCTAGATGCCTGGCTCACGGCAGATGGCCCATAAATATTTGCTGAATAAACAAATGCACGATTCGCACCGACTGGCCTACCAAAGGGGCTCTTGGTCCCCTGGCACACAGGGGACAGGGCTGTGTTCTTGGGGTGAGCTGTGTGGCGTGCAGAAACCCCCAGGGACAAAGAGGCCCCTGCAGGACGAAGCTTGCGGTGTCTCTGTGGAGCCCTGGCTGTGGGGACACGGCAGGGTCCCTCCCTGTCACTCGTGTTCAGAGCAGCTGCAATCTAGGCTTGGGCTCAGGCACGCCAGGGGGACAGAAACCCCCACCAAAGCGTTTTACCTGCCCTTTGGCGCTTTTGCTCAGCACTGGGTGGGACCTGCCTGCTCGTGCCTGTGTGTCAAAGCCTCTCTCACGTGACGTTTCGGCAAAAGTTTGCTTACCTCGCTCGCTGATTAAAGGAGCCGCATTTTCCCTCCCATCCCGCCAACGGCTACCCGATAGCCACACGCAGGTCGGGTTACACGGGCGCCCGCGATCACCACGCTCGCTGTGACGACTGGGTCGACCAGGCTGGGTGACCTGGTGGAAACATTTCCGATTGGCAGCCTGCTCACCTCCATGGTCGCTTTTATGATGAAAAAGGGAATTCTTTTTGCTTTTAACGATGGCGGCTCCAGAAACGGTAAGCAGGGCGGGCGGGGGGAGGGAAGACACTTGTCGTAGGTGACGTCTCATCGTTTCTCGAGGTGCTGAAACCTGTGACGATGGCCCGTTGGGGAAGGGACCTCCTCGCCGGGGTTCAGTGTTTTGAGAGCATTTTGGCCTTGGTCGTTATCCTCGTTATAAAGTTAAGCTGTGTAATCTGCCTCCTGCTCATAGGAACCAACCACTGTCAGCAAGAATCGGTGGAAAATGCTGGATATGAATGTATTAGTTTCCTAAGATATTCTTCAAAGCTGTTCTTGTGACGGAAATGAAATATTTTTAGCGCATGACTCTTGTTTAGCGTGCAACGGCAGGAAAACGAAGTTTGTTTTAAATCGCTCAATAGTTCCCTTAGAATCCCAAACACTACGATGAGTAAACAGAAAGAAATTAAAAGTCAGTGCTCCAAGTACCTGTGTTTCTGAGCCTTTGGGGACCCCTGAGCCCCAGAGAAGTCGCACCTGGTACCTGCGAAGGCAAACGGGTTTAGCTGGGACCGGCACCAATCCCCTGCTCCCTCCGCCCCCCGTAGAGCTACTGGGACAGACTTCCAAGGGCTCCGGCCTTTGCGCTTACGATTGTGGAAATGCTCTCGGAGGACACAGAGCCCCAGTGTAGCTCTGGCGCCTGCCGGCGGTCCCCAGCCGCTCCTCCCTGGCCTGTGAGCAGCGGGGCGGGGGCGGGGTACCTGAGAGCCGGGAGAGGACACTTTCATTCTTAATCAGGTCACGCCTGGGAGAGCCAGGAAAGAGTTGTGTTTACGGGAAGCTACAAACACTGTGGGCGAGTGTCCCCTGCCTGACATTTTGGGGGCGCGGACCTTATGTGAGTATCGAGTCTCCTTATGTGTAGGGTAACCATATCACATGCCCGGGCAGAGGGTCGTGTCTGTGTGGGGCAAACGGCAATGATGGGAAGAGAAGGAACGTGCTTTGAATGTAATTCACCTTCTGAAAAACGATGATGCAGTAACTTCTAAACGGTCAAGTGGCTGTCTCTAAAGATGTGTCCTCAGTTGGTTTTAAGATGGATCAGACTTTGGGAAAGCCATTATTTTAGCAGAATTAAGTTCATTGTTTTTCGTTAACTCTAGAAGTTTCTCTGTTATCTGCCGTGGCTCCGAAAACAATGCGTTCTCACGGGACAAATAGTTCTGATTAATCGGTATTGAATTCGCATTACGTGGCTCGTCAGATTTCAAAGATTTAACATGACAAAGATGCATTTGATGCTGACGCTATAAATAGGGGCACAAACGCTTTCTGTTCTTCCTGGCGAAGTTGGCGGAGGCGGACCTCAGAGGCCCTGAAATCGTCACCATGGGAGAGAACGACCCGCCCGCGGCCGAAGCCCCCTTCTCCTTCAGATCGCTCTTTGGCCTTGACGATTTGAAAATAAGTCCTGTTGCTCCAGGTAGGTGGGACCAGGTGTGGTGTCCGCCCCCCTCCCGCCCCCCATCTAGATGACAAATGGGGCCGAGTGTCCCTCTGGGGAAATAGCTCACGAGAAGCCGTCACGCTCCCAAGCCGGACGCCTGTGACCGCCTGGCTCAGAATCCCGCAGAGCGGGGGCATCGGACGGGTCCTTTTGTCTGGCCCTGTGCCGACTCCCTGGATATAGGTGCTTCTATTCTCTGGATGGAAGTTTCCAGAAGTTGAGGCTCCAATGGTCCCTGGGAGTTAGGGGTCAGATCCTGGCCGGGAAGTCTCCTAGCCTTCCAGGAAGACCTGAGAACCTATGCTTACCGGCCTTTCCAGAAAACCTAAAATAAGCCGGATGGCACCGAAGGTATTAGATGCCTAGGTTAAAACCCAGTAGTAGGTGACTGAGTTGCTCCCAGCATCCAAGGAGGGAAAGCAAGTTTTGTAAACGGGTCACAGACACTCGGAGGAACAGTGACTCCACAATGCCTGTGGACTAGGATCTTTTGGCAAGTCTACCAGGACTCGTCAAGGTGAGCTGTGGCTAGCCGGTCCCGGAGGCGGTCGGGGCCTGGAAGAGGGACACCTGGGGCTCTGGCCGAGGTTCCAGGAAGCGTGGAGTGGGGGCCGGTGGGGGGTGTGGAGAGGGTGGGAGGCGGGAGGAGAGGTTTCGAGTCCAAGAAAAGACACACAATTTAAAAACGTGACCCCGAAATCGACATAAATGTAAAGTTTAAAAGTTCCCTGCAGCCGCCGGATCCCCCAGATTCCCCCGTCATCATATCTGCCTTCGCTCTCTCCCTGTCCCCTCCCATAGGCTGCCTGCGTTCCCGCTGCAGATAGAGACACGTTTTTCCGCGTGCCACTGGGTCGTTACAGACAGAGACGCGTTTTCCCGCGTGCCTCTGGGTCGTTACAGATAGAGACGCGTTTTCCCGCGTGCCACTGGGTCGTTATAAATGCATCTTTTATGGCATCGCCACATTCCAGCAAGCAGACACGTAATTTACATAGCCATTAAATCATTTGACGCATCATTGTTTCTAATATTTTTAATATAATCACATGAACATGAATGGCACTATATATATTCCTCTGTGCGAATTTTTGATGATTTCTTCATCAAAATAAAACAATGTATTGTTCATCATAGAAATTTAGAAAATACAATCAAAAAGATTTTTAAAAATTGCCCACGATTTTACCACTACTCAGAGGTAACCCTATCGGCACTTTATATGGACTTTCTTGTCTTTTTCTTATCAAAGTATCTATAGTTCCCTTTGGAATGACATGCATTAGTTGGACTATTTTGAAACTTTTCTTTTTAACTAAACAATATCATGTTCATCTTTTCATGGTATTAGATATTAAATATTAAATATTAAATATTCTTCAGGGGTTGGCACACAACAGCCCATGGGCCAAATCTGGCCCACTGCCTGTGTTTATAAATAAAGTTTTATTGAAACACAGACACATCCATGTATTCACACTTGTCTATGACAGCTTCGATGCCATTAGTAGAGCTCAGTAGTTATAAAGTTTAAAATATGCACTGTCTTGTCCTTTCTTGAAAATGTTTGCTGACCCCCTTTATTATTTAACTATTCTCTATACCATTTGTTGTCACTCGTTCCTTCCGTTGGTCATTTAGGCTGTTTCCTGTGCATCAATATTTTAATGCCGCTCTTCTAAGTCCCCTTGTAGGTAGAAATTTGTGTACATCTACGACGACGTCTTAGGATAAATTCCTAGAAGTGGAATTGCTAGGTTAAAAATCCCGTCTGTTTTTAAGCTTTTGGTACGTAATTCAAATGTGACTCTCCAAAAGTTTACACGATGCGTATGCCAACTGACTATGAGTGGAGGTCCGTTTCCTTTCTCTGTGGACTGCAGTGGGAATGATGACGATGTTGACGATGCTGACGGTGACGGTGACGGTGATGATGGTGGTGACGATGGTGATGTGGTGACGGTGACGACGATGATGATGTCATTGCGAACGTGCTATGAACTTATGTCTAATTTGCGGCTTCCCCATCTCTGGGAGAGCGAAGGTTCTTTTGCGCTTGCTTATCATTTGGATTCCTCCTTGGCCGAGACCCTAAGCATCTCGTCTTTACCGCGGGCACGCCCTCAGAGACAGCCCGAGGAGGGAGGGGGCCACAGGGGCCACCGACACACACACTCTACCTGAACAACGGTCTTTGACTCTATGGTGCGGACTCGTTTCTTAAATCCGGCTCAGATAGTGAACAGCTGGAAAGGGGAGAGGTCGTTCTTGGGGTTCCTGCCGCTTTAAAGTGTGCATGCCGGGTGGACATCTCTGCCGGGGGCGTTCTTGGTGCAGGCTTCCGAGGGGTGACGAGCATGGCCAGAGGTGTCAGCTCGGCTCACTCAAGACCACGCGCTGGTTGCCCTGCGAGGAACTGGTCTCTAACCCTGAGATAAAACCTCCTTCATTATCATCATTCATTCATTCGTTCATTCATTCGTTCTACTAACACTTATCAAGGACTGCCAGGCACCAGGTGCTGGGAACGCATCCGCGAGCAAAGCACTGGCCCGTCCAGGCTAAAGCGAGGAGCTGGCCGTCTGCCTCTCCTTTCTCGCTGTGTTGGTCTCGGTCGCGGAGGGCTGTGTGCTGCTGGGTTCCCCTACTTCCCTTCACGTCTTCCCTTTGCTTCCG